GGAACGCGGCAGTGTGCCCTTGTCTTCCTGCATATGGCAGCATGTACTCCACATAGCAGCTGCTAGAACCACAAGCTGTCTTTGACGTACAGCCTGTAGGGCCCGTCTGAGAGCTGCAAGAGCAGGTCTCATGATTTATCCCCTCTGGCAGCAGGTGTCATGCAGCCACATAGGATGTCCGGTCATGCAGTACATGCTGCAGGTAGCGTTTAACTGAGAGCCACTCAGCTTGTAGCAGTTGCATCTGGGAGCGGCCCACACAGTGTAGAGCCAGGGAATGGGCCTCAGGAATTTTCGGTGCTTCCCAGCGGATTAGTAATGACAGCGCCTGGGCCGCTTGCCTTCTTGACCGATTTTAGTGCAGCGCCCAGCCTTATTTCACGGAGGCTGGCCTTGAGGCGGGATTGCCTGACAAACAACCCATGAACAGACATTGGTATTTGAGTAGTATTCCATTTGGGGATGCTATAGACCCCAATATCGAGGACGATTATATCCTCCTTTGGGCTACAGTATTCTAGATAAGGAACATAATCTTACTGCTTGCCAAGCCCTAGGACAGGTCTTGGAGTCTTCAAAGCAGTGTAGAATCCGGTTTGAGGTTTAGGGTTTAGGGCTGAAGCAAAAAACCCAACCCCAAAAGGAGTTACTCTTCCGCAAACTAACATGCAAGCACATGCTAGCGTGGCCCTATGCAGACCGCTGTCCTTTGAAAAGGGCACCATGTTAGCTTCCATGAGGAAGTTGTCAGGCCCTGGGGTTTAAGCAGCAAGGTTTTGAAGAGACCAAGGTCCCCACTACCCCCTCATATTGAATATTCCCCATTGTGGTATGGTATAGGATATTGGGAGTTTGGGGGGAAGGTATTACTGTTGTTCCAGTGATGGATGATCTCTAATCCATTTTGGCCTTAGCCGTTGGAATCTTGCCTTTTAAAGCTTTCATGACGCCCCAAGGCCTCTGAAAAAGACCGCAGTCGGCCAGGGACCCACACCGGTCCATTATCCTTGCAAAATTTCCTAAACCCTAAACCCCTCAGCCATACGTGACGGACTGTTTCCTAAAATTCTCTGAATGATTATGGTCCCCCTTAAGTTGATGGAATATGGGGTATATGGAGACCTTATTATAATATACCCAAAGCCATATTCTATCTGCTTAAGGGGGACTATACCTTCTTCTAGGGCTTGGAATTCTGGAGTCTGTGTCTCCAAGGTGAGATTCAAGCGCGTGGCGGTCTTGGCTGACCGCGTCTGACGAAAGCTGGGTTTGCCGGTTTAGGGTTTCATTAGGGTTTAGGGCTTGTGGTAGCAGCAAAGCTGGAGTTGATAGTACCCATGCTTGTATTATGCAATACTAGTACAGTCTTCACACAGCAGCATACGCAAGGCAAAACAGTAGCCCTGTGTAGTAGCAGCATCAGCACCGTAATGACGTCACTGACTCATACGACGATCTCCGTCAAACAGTGTCATACAGTCACCCATGCTGATGTTATGACATGGGTGGGGTATTTGTTCCCCGAATTTACGGATTAGCAATGTAGGCAAGATCCCACCAGCCTTAATGCCGAGCTGCAGATGAAGAGACATCCGAGATCCAACAGATCTTCCCTTTCTGGGGTCACCATAATTAGGATTGTAGTGCACTGGGGCTATACACGGGGGGCTGTCCAAGAGTACAACTGTAGAAATTTTGAAAAAAAACTCTGCAATATCCCTCTTTAATCCTCTGTTCCCCTGGGCTCCCAAACGGCCTCTAGTTCTCTAATTGCTTGAGGAACCCCATTTCAAGTCCGTATGGTCATGTTTCCTTACAGGGTTTAGGGTTTAGACACACTTTAAGCTGTGCTCTGCGGATCCAGAATATGGGGTTATATAGGGATTATAGGGTTATATAGGGGGTATATTGAGATAATGGAAAAGAAAATGGAAACTACTATTTAGGGTTTAGGGTTTATAGGAACTGAAGACAATCCATTGCTGATGTCCCTCATATGAGCCATAGTCTAAACTCCTTAAAGGGGGATTATATAAGGGATTCTATACGGGACTACTATAGTGGTCATTAAGGCGGGTACTAGGAGATTAGACTTTGGCTCATATGGTGCCCACCATCCCTACACCATTGATCCCAGACATCTCTGCCAGTCCTACCTTATACCTGAATGCTATGGTCCCCCTGAAGTAGATAGAATATGGCTTTGGGCATATTATAATAAGATCCCCATCTACCCCATATTCTATCTACTTAAGGGGGACTATACACCTTAAACCCCATAAGGGCATTGCTTATGTGAAGTGCCACACCCCTTAAACCATGAGGGCTTAGCTTAGATGAGCAAGGGCGAGGAGCTGGGTACGTGCCAAGCTTCGATGCAGCCAGAAAAAGAAGCAATGGTGCCACTTAAGATGATTTAGCATAGGGATGTAAAGCGGTTTAGGGTTCCGGGGTATGTGTGTGTGTGCATATATCATATATACTGAGTTCTTTAGGGGATAATGGAGAAGAACTGCGGAAGCTACTATTGGTGGTTAGGATGATTATTCCCCGAATAGTAAAAAGGCAACTACTAGAGACAACGGAACATGGAATGGACCATGGATTTTCATAGGGGCTCATGGGGGATTATGTAGGGGCCTACACCGTAAACCCGGAACCCAATACCATCCTATACCCTAAACCCAAAATATGTACCAATCCCGGCGCCAAAAGTTTGAAGCGTGCTGCCCTGCTCCTGCAAGCCTAACACAACATCTTGGAGTTTAGGGTTTGGGGTTTGGGATTTAGGGTTTGGGGTTTAAGGTGTGGGGGCAAAGGGTTCAGGGCTTGGGGTTTGGGGTTTATGGTTTGGGGTAAGGTCACACAGCCCAAGCCACAAAAGTCCTATGTCCCTGCAAGATGGAGAGAGCATTGCCGACCAGTTTCTTCCCATCGTGCTAAACTCTAGGCTTCCTTGTCTTTCCTATACTGTCACTGTCACGCAGGCTCTGGCAAAGCGAATGCATCTCATTGTTGAAGGCAGTAGTCGCTGGGCATTGCGGATTTGATGAGTTTAGGGATGATAAACTGTGAGGTTCATGCCGCTTATGTAGGAGCTTCACGCTCATGCTTGGTAGTCAAAGTGTGTCATTACTTGCCAGCGGTAGACAGGTTCACTTTTACCCTAAACTCCCAAGTCTACGCCCTTCTTTGCAAAGCCCACGTCCACAGACCCTAAAGACTAAACCGTCTAACTCCAAAGCCCAACATGCAATCCTCATCTGGGTCGCTGTGAAGAAACCTCTAACCATATTATTCATACGATGGGTATATCGTGAATGATAGGGTTCCCTTATTATAGTAACTTGATTTAAGTTCTTGAACTACAAGACCCAGTCATTCCTCAATTCAGACCCTCAACCACAACACTTCAGCACTACTCGCTACATGCGTGCCGACCACATACCTTCAAAGTCAACACGCGTACCAAAAGATATATGACAGCACGAGGTTTCCGTAAACCCTCAGATGTTGAAGGGTACTTGTCAAATGAGCCACATGCCTTTCGTCTGTATACGTTCCAACATCTCAAGGTCCTCATTCATAATCCCTGCAAAGTGTACTGCACTTACCAATCAAGACCCAAAGCTGCGGGAAGCATGCACCACCGGATTTTCTTGTACCCCATGCTGACAGTAAATGAGGGTCCGTTCCCGCAGGGTCAACGTACCTACGTAGTGCGTATTTTGGAACCAAAGGAATTCCGCCACAGGGATACATGCTGAGCATATGCTTCTTGATTCCTTGGTCAATTTGGGCTGGGTGGTAGAAGCTTTCTTTAGTGCCAGTTGTTCCAGCAACCAGTGCCTGCTCTCAGGCTGGACCCTTAGCACATTTATCCCTGCTTATGCCTCGGCCAAACCCCACGCTAAACCATAAATCCCGAGGCCTTCTGCAATCCCTACTAAAGCTTCTTTCTGTGAAGCTTGCAGGACCAAATCAGCTCGGAATTGAATCGGGCAGGCCTGCCGTGCTTGAGCTTCGGGTGTCAGATTCAATGCGTGTAGGCTCTGTTAGGTTTTTTTTTCGTGGGTTCTACAGGCATTGTGCCTTTTTAAGGGTGCTAGGCAGTCAGGGTTAGGGATTTGTTTGGTTTGAAGAGTTACGAGTTTTCGGGATGCCGGTGGCCTGGGTGGATCATTGCGTGCTTAGGCTGCGTATTCCGGGACTCTGAGTCTATGCACTGTACCTACTTCGGGCGCGAAAATCTATGAACGGTTATTACGTTGGCTCACAGTCTATAACTATAGTATCTAGAAGTAGTACCTACCCCGGAGTCTGTTCACCATAGGGTCAGGGTTCCAAGATGAGAGTTGTAGGTCGGAATTAGGCATTACAAAGCCCTTGGTGTAGCCCCCGAATGCTATGGTCATCTAGGTTCAATACTCTACTTCAAGATGCATGATGTATGGGTAGTTAGCTGGGGTTGCCAGTTATAAGGCTAAGTAGAACCCAACTAATAGGTATTTTCATGAATCTGCAAGTAAGGACTACCGCAAAATGACTCATTTTGCAAAGCCCTCATATGAGCTACTGTCAGTATTAGGGGTACCAAGGGAACACGAAGGGTGGACATCGGAGTTTCTTTTGTAGTGAAGTATAGTCTCTGATATATCCCCCCGTAAGGACCAATGTCCATATTCTGCTATTGTTACTTCATACCATCCTGACAATCAGCTTGGAGTGCATTGGGTTTAGTGCCAAGTCTATTCAGGGTTGGATGGAGAGCGGGACAGGTAGCGAGGGCAAATATAGGGATGTAACCGGATGTACGCGGGTTCTTCTCCGCGCCCAAATGGCATGTCTTCCAAGATTGGAAGCACATTTGTGGACAAGTCTTGTGCCCTGTAGCAGGTCCAGCAGGGGAGCCCCTCGAACGTTACTGTGATATGATCCTCAAAGCGACGCCAAAAAATACATAACCCACTTGGAGGGTCAGAAAGAGTTCGTTAGTAGGACAACGATGAAGAGATCTGGGGCTGCTATTGCGCATATACTAATGCGCATTGAGCCTCCAATCAGGGCAGACAAAACCCGGAACCCTACACCACAAACCCCAAACCTGAACCCTACGCCCTAAACCCTAAACCCTACAGCCTAAACCCCTGAACCCCGCCCTAAACCCTAAATCCTAAACTCCTAAGGGTCCAAGTACCTAATAGTCATATGCTTACCCAAAACGTGTACTATTATAACTATTACCCAAAACCCAAGTACCTAATTATTGGGTACATGGACCCTTTGGGAACTCTTGACCCAGGGCAGACACTCCGCTGCCTCCCGCCACCCTCCTCGACTCAAGAGCTCCGCGCGGCCGAATCTGTCAAGGCGGCACTGAATCCTGCCCTGGGGCTCCATGTCTATAAATAATATCTGCATTGGGCCCCAATGTCCATAAATAGTACCTACATTGGGCCATTTGGAGCCCTAGGGCTGCGAGCAAGTGGCAACCAAGTTTTTGGATTGATCCCCTGCAACACTGTGGAGATGCAGATCGCTCATTTGGGTTGTTTTCGAGGAGCTTATTAAGTTACCATAATATGGATGTCTAGTAAATGAGGGGGTCACTTACTACCTCAATCTAATCCATTTTCCTTAGCCGCAGCCCTAGGACAACTCCAAAATACAACAGTTGAAAGTACCTAGCCGTAAGCTAATTTACTTCTGTTGTATCTTGATACCTTCCCACAACCTCAACCCCAAACCTCAAACCCCCCAAACCCTCTACTAATGACAGGCTGAACACTATTCCGGTCCGGTAAGTTTTGGTGGCATTTGATTCCTGAGAATCCAAGAACTTAAGTTAAGTTAATGATATACAGTAATGAGGTGTATATAGGGTTTAGCTCAGGGTCACTACAATAAGGAACCCCTACTTTTACTGTATGCCCTTGTTATGGTATGTTAAGTTCCAGGAAGCGTTGCCCTGGGGGCCCCATTTTTTTCGGTTTCTGAGAATGCAATGTTTTATGCTTGTTTTGTGTATGGGGATTGTCCTATCTTACTCTCAATACGGGGTCCTATATTTAGGTTCCTATTATAATACGGGTCCCTATATAATTCGGGAACAGTAGTTTAGGGAACCTCCCATATGAGGATATAAATTAGTACGTTCGAGATGACTTTTTGAGGCGAAGCTCTCTCTCTAAGCAAGAAGAAAGGGTAAGGGAATTGTATAAGAGGCAGTTATATATGATACGGGCAGACAGGAGGGGAAGGAGGGGGGGAGCCTCTAGGAAAGGGAGAGCAGGGGGGCCAAAGAACCATGAACTTTATTGTTATTATTTGTTTTTGTTTTTTTTGGCCCCCTCGTCCCTCTTCCTTTCCTAGAGGCTCCCCCCTCCTTCGCCTCCTGTCTGCCCGTATCACCCTACCCTCCCTGGCTTCAGTTAAGTTCCCGCAATAGGGCAAACCTATGGCCTGTTTTTCAATCCGTAACAGCAACCCAGCATCGCAGCAGGAGTTCGACAAGCTCTTGCGTGCGCCTAAATGAGATGCAGTCTGCCTGCGGAACAAGCTCAAGTGTGCTCTGCTTCTTAGGGGTTAGTTTAAAGTTTAGGGTGTAGGTTTTAGGGTTTAGGATTTACCGTTTAGACCTTACGATTTAGGGGTTTTTAGTTGGGGAGCTGAAGATGTACCATGATGTACCTGGCCGCAGACAGGGGTAACACAATGGCCCCAAACGCGTTAAAAACAAAAGGGTCGTTGTTCTACTTACTTCTGGGAACCTAAGTCCTCAACCATACCCTCGTGAAGATGTGAGCACAGGCCTACATAGGGGAGTATTATAGGGGTTACTGCGGTGAATACTAGGAGTTTAGACTATAGCTCATGTAAGGCTGCAAGGCTAGAAATACGGGCCTCGTGATTCTCATATGAGGACGGTTCTAAAATTCCTGTTTTTTTTTTGTGTATAGCGAGTTCTCAACACAGGGTTGCAGGGTTTCTTTCTTGGTGCGCGAAAGATTGCGAAAGCTCCGCAAAAAGGCGCAGCGGTTGAAGGGTTTTGGAAAAGGAATTTAGGCACCCATATGTAACATATGTATACATTTATCCTGTACGTACCTGAAATATGTAGATATAATCTATCTCTGTACACCTGTAACTCTTGAAAGGGCTATGGGCACAGTACGGGCGTATACTTCCGACATTTCGAAACCATGATCGAGCACTTATTAAATTTCCCCATGCACCCATTAAGCAATCCAAGCACCCTGAAGGAAGGTATAAGAGCTGTTCAGGTTTAGGGTTTAGGCACCCAGCATGTGATCTTGATACCGTCCCTAAAACTTGTACCACAGTCCTATACCACGATCCCAAGTACTCGAATACTGGGTACTTGGACCTTAGGGTGGTGGTGTCTTTACCACAAATGTTTGGGTACAGAGCTTTCCCAAAACCACCCGTAGAGAATCTGTAAAGGAGACCCCCATCATCCGAAAGCCACTCAAAACCCCAAACCCTACACCCTAATGCTAATGCATTGCCAGGGTCCGTAATGGCCTTACATTCAGAGAAGCCTGGTCTTCTTTTTTGGGCCGCCAGTACAGTACAGCCCAACATTAAGCCTTAGGGGTTTAGGGGTTCAGGGTTTATATCTAGACCTTGAACCTACATGCTAGACCCTAAACCCAAACCCTAAACCCTTAAATTCCAAACCCTACACCAAACCTTTGGGCTACCTGCCATATGAGCTACACTCTAAACTACTAACAGCGGGTTCTCCAGGGGATTATATAGGGGAGTATTATAGGGCTTATTAACAGTTTAGACCATAACTCCTACAATCCCCTATATAATGCCAGTTTCCATTTCATGTTCCATATTCTTGTCCATTTGATTATCCATTTTTAAGGGGGATGCTAGGAGTTTAGACCCTAAACCCTAAACCTCAAACCCTATACTATAGCGGTTATTAAGGGGGATACTAGGAGTTTAGACTAGAGCTCATTTGAAAGAGGTGCCGCGGCGTTGGGCCGGTCCACAGTTGCGGGTGGTAGTGTTGACGAAGGCTCCTGCACCACACACGGCCTAAATGCTTGGAGGTTACACATAGCCAGAGTTACCTACTTTTTGATGGGTCACTACTTGAGGGATGATTGCAAAAGCTTCCCCCCTAACATTCAAGAATGAATTCAGGGCGTAAACGTCCGGAAGAGCAGTTGTAAAAGGGCAAAACTACGTTGAAGGAGCATCCTAATAATGAACGGGGGTTCTGGAATTATTAAAGAATTATTCAATCGTTTAATTAATTGCATAGTCTCAATTGCTTAACTATTCGGTTATTAATTAGGTCATGTGATGTATTTGGTTAACTTTTGGTTGTCCATGGAGCTTAAAAGGACTTAAAAAGCAGCCCTAGACAAGTCTTGCAATAAATTCCACCCGCCCCCCCACCCCCCCCATCCCCCCACCCCACATTACTAGATAATCTTCGGGCCCGGGATCATTCAATAATACAATGGAAGGGGGAGGACAACATCTAATATTACGGTAATCTTACGGGGAAGGGATTACCTAAGCTGCAGAAAAGCTGAGGGTGAATGAGTAGCAGTACAGAGGAGAAGGAGGAGAACCCGGATCACGCGAGGAAACATAAACCCGAATGTAGACCTATGAGAAAATAAACCCCACTCCTTTTAAGGGCCTAAATATTAGGAAACTTTATTACAATCCTTTTTGAGGGGAGGGGGTTTATTAATCGGGGGTCTGGGTTAATCTCATACTTTCTGAGAATCAGTGATCATGTCTGGGTCCTGATTCTCAGGGCTTTGGTAATTGTATGCGTTGGGCGTACGCGGTTTAGGGCGCGGTTTAGGGTTTAGGGTTTCGCGTCCTGTTCTACAACTACAGCTTGATATGGTAGTTTCCCTAAATAGGGAGACCCAAGAAAGACCCCAATATACTATGATCCTTATTATGGGGAACCACAGAAAGGTACCTCTAATTTTGGGAAACCCTAAACCCTTAACCCTCCATAATTGCATTACCCATATATAACTTAACCCCTATGAAGCCGCCTATAAGCCCCTTTAAACGTACCCCTCCAAATAGTAGTTTCCATTTTGTTTTCCATTATCCCAATATATCCCCTATATAATCCCCAAAATAACCATCCTTTAAGGAGTTTAGACAAAAGCTCATTTTTGGGAAACCTCCATGTAAAGTGATCCGAAAGCCGCGTAAACTCATCCTTCTGGGCTGCAGAGGTCTGATGGACGCACAGTATCAGTAGACTCTACACACCCTAAACCTAAGCCCTAAACCCTAAACCCTAAACCATAAACCCTATTTGGGGTGTAGGTTTGAGGGTTTTGAATCTTGACCATTTAGCTCCAAGCTTCTGAAACCTAAGGCTTAGTGTGTTGGGGTTTTGTCAGGGTTTACGGTTTAGGGGTTTAGCGTTTAGGGTTGAAAGTTGTGCGGTTTTAGGTTTTGATTGGGATGTAGAAGTGGAAGGTTTGGGGTTTCAGGGTTTGATTAAGGTTTGAGGTTTAGGGACCCTGGCTGTGGAAGGGCTAGACCCTGAACCTACGCCATCAACCTCAACTCCCAACTCCAAACCTTTGACTTCGGTGGATCACCCCACCCAGTAACAGTGACATAAGGGATAGTAAGGATTATAGTCGGGTCCTCTTATGTCCCTATTACACCACTGTTACAAGGGTCCTACCTTTAACTCTGAGTCCGAGACCCCCAAACCCAAAATTCAAGCCCCAAAAGCGTGAATCAACAACCTCGCTCTTGTAAGCGAGGATGCTTGGCTGCACTGCTTCAATCTGGAGGCGTCTGAAAAGCAGTCTCAGAGAGCCCAATTCAGTTTTGGGGTGTAGGGGCTCAAAAAGCCAAATACCCAAAGTGATACTGAGATTCCTTGTATGGGTTGAGGTGTGTTCTTCAATAAGAATTATTTGGGCTCCCTCAGCGTTCAAAGCAATGATTGCTTGTCAGGTTTGTTCTGAGAGATATAGGGGCATGCAGGCTTAGTAGGGTTCAGGAGTTTTTTTTCAGGGTTTGGCAGTTCAGGTTCGCACTTTAGGGTTGTTGCTCAGATAGACATTGCTTGGAGGGCGAATCCTAAACCCTATAATCCTATATCCTTAATCTAAACGAGGGCTGAGGTTTTGGGTTTTGAGTGATTGGACTTGTGGTATCGGGTTTCAGGGCTCTTGGGTAGCACACGCTTCTGAATGCAAGTGGAGGAATGCTCTTCAATATAGGATAGGACCACCTTTTGTAAGTCCCCATCCAGGATTTCTTACATAGTGGCCTGAAACCCTGAACCCTAAACCCTACGTTTATATTTGGGGCTCCCAACTTTCATGTCCCTGGAGTCCTTTAGGGCCTTGTGAGTTTGAGAGACTCCCATATCCTTGGGTTCAGGACACGCCTAAACTAAACTCTAAACCCGAGAACCCTAAGCGCTTTGGGGTTTAAGGGTTTTGGGCTTATGGTAAGCTCTAAGACCCCAAGCCCTTAAACCCTAAACCCTAAGCCCTAAACCCTAAAAAGCCCTTAAACCCTAGCATCCTAAAGCTCCAAAACCTGAAAGCCTTGACAGGCAAGTCGGCTGCAAGCCCTGTCCACATCTGCGAGTGGCTACTTGCATCGCTGTTTGGAGTTTACCTGTAGATAGACAGGACTATAGAGGGGTATATAGGGATTACAGGGCTCTACAGGGTTTAGGGTTTACCTGTATCCCCAACCCACCAGTAGTTCTTTTCAATGGTTTTGTTCCCATTCATTACGAGGCAATTGTTACGGAACAGGAGGACCCTAAACCATATACCTTAACCCTTCAACGCCGTTCGTGTGGGGTTCAGATTCAGTGCCTCTATTTGTCTTGTCGGGACGCAGTGGCGTACGTAGTGGTGCTAGCCCGGTCTCTGCTTCAACGATGTCTGCCAGAGATTCTGACTACTTGCCCCATGCGGTGGATTTTGGGATACTTGGAGCTTCAAAGTTTAGGGTTTAGGGTTTAGGGTATGGGTAGTTTTAAGTGATTTATAAGTGAGCTAGCGAGACTTATAGTCATGAACCCTGAGCAGTGGACACAGGAGTGGGTCTTGTAGTTTAGTATAGTTCTGAGTACAGTCCCTAACAAGTAACCCACGTCCACTAAATTGTGTAGGAAATGACTGTACTTCATATGCTGTCTTAAAACCTGTTCTACCAATGCTATTACCAAAATCCTAAGTACCCAAGGGTTGAGTACATGGACCCTAAACCGTAAGCGCTAGAAATCCACAGACACCCGCAGGATACTGCTTGTAGCTTTGTATAAGCTTTTCAACCCTATCTATTCCGTTATAGATGCCTGTACATGCCCTCATCTCCCTAGCCCTGTACGTCCCTAGATAGCCTTTCATGGTACCCCTATTCAGTATATAGGTCCACCACACCTATTGAGTACGTTCTAAACCCTAAGCCCCACCCCTATTGAGCACACGGACACTTAGGGGGGTTGTTTCTTGAAGCCCTAAACCCTAAACC